AGGGAACTTATTGATGCGCATAAATCAGTGGAACTTGCCCCGGGGAAGGACCATAGGAAGATAGTGGAAAAGCAGGCGGGGAGGGCAGAGTTGTTGGGAAAATCGAGAGGCAGGACATGCAACTCTCTATGCATGCGAAATCACTGCAGTAGAAAATTAGAAAATTTTCAACTCGGGCTCAGACAGAGCAGGCGGCAGGCAAAGATATTTCGGTTACAACGGAAGCTATCCCTCTCTTTCTCTGTTGAGACACTGAAAAGAATTCTACATTTGAAGAGTAATTTAACAAGAAATATATATATATATCTATTAAGCAGTACTGCTCTTGCTTTAAATTTATTTAAAGAAATTAACGAGAAACAATTCTCTGTAGAAAATCCTAATCGTAATCTGTTTTTATAACTTTAGTAATTTGTTTCAGTGTCCCTTCTCCATCTCTTTCACACGTAAGTGCAAATCGCATGGCAAGTGCAACATCTGTGGCTGTGAAATGAAGTCATACTGAATCGCAGCCACCGAAAACGTGACAACGCCGCCAAAAACGACAGCAACAGCTGAAGTAACTTGAGCGACATCTCGACTGGATTTTTGTCCCTCGCCCCCTTCTTTCCCTCCCCAAAAAAAAGACTAGGATCCCCCTTTACTCCCCACCCAAACCCCTGCAAATTGCAATTAACGTTGGACGCTCTAATTAGCTCAAACCATCCCGGAACGAGCTCGTTGACTAAGCTTTGAGTGCATAATTAGCCAAAGAGAGCCGTGCACGAAAATGCCTCGCTAAAATATTTTTAAACATCACCTACTTAGGAGCCAATTAGCGGGGGGAATGGGGATGGTGTGGGCGAAGCCGGTAAAAAGTTACTGAGGCTTCCCAGGCGCCTTATCAATTACCTGTATCATCAATCAAAGGCTTTGCAGGTGTAAAGCACCCGGAATAACTGACGCTGCTGCTATGTTGGTGTTGGTGTTGGTGTTGGTATTGGTGATGGTATTTTACCTGTTAAAGATAATTTATAAAAATGAAAAAGAACCAAATCGAATGACAAATGAATTACTGTGGCGAGGCGAGAGGAGAGACAGGCACATAAATATTTTTTAACCGAATAATAGAGATTCCAGAATACTTAAGTAAATGTACAGGAGCAGAAGTTACCCTTCAATTCATATGAAATTATTTGTATAGTTATATTTTAGGAAACTTGATTACTTGAAATATTTTTAAGGGGAAAGTCTATTAAGTACTTAAATTTAAGACATTTTATGACAATTTATTTTGGCAAATCAATGTTAAAAAAAACTCATGGCTTAGCCAAAAAAGATTTAATCTTAATTCCGAAAGCAGTCCCATGCAAGTTTTTGTTACGCCAATAAATCTGCATACTTCATTTAAAATGTGGAAAAATTTAAATTCAACAAATTCAACATTTACTTTCTTTCCTACATGCATAGAAAGATTCGCCTGTTGATCCTGATCTAGAATATATATGATTTATAGGGTCGGAAATGACTCCTTCATGGTGTTTTAAACTTTTGACTAAAATTAGAATAGCCTGCAAGGGTATAAAAATCAAATCTATTATTTGTATAAATTTCTACTGAGGAAAAATATTCTCATCACATCTTCAATATATTTAAATGAAATTACATATTGAAATACCTTATAAATTTTATGTTTTTTAACCTGAAATACTTACCCTAATTAACTACAAATATGGTATAACCTTGGAAACCTTCATAATTTTTCATTAACAAATTGAAAAACCTCAGCAAAGTCTCTGGCCAAGCATGTGGATATCAAATACTTTGCATTTAATAAATTGAATTGATAGATAAATACAGGACGACCCGTCCGTAATTAATTCGATCGAATGCGAGTGCAAAAAAGGAAAAAGAAAAAACCGGGGGAAAAAAGAAAACACCGCTTGGCATATGAATTTCGCACAAATTAAATGTGACGAAAACAGTTAAAAATACACACCCGCCTGCTTGCATTAATGAGGCGGGGGCAGTCGAATGGCAAAACCAATTTGGCCTCGAATGCCACATGAAATAATCAGTACATAAATATTTTTTCCAGCCGCAGACAGCGGCCCTTTGTGATATTTGCATTGCGCTCGCATATTTCGCTCGCACTCCATTTAAAAATAACTTTTAACTTGATTAAAAAATGGCAGCCGAGGAGGGGAAGCGGAAGTAGCAGCCGCGGCAGCAGCAGCAGCAGCAGCAGCAGCAGCAGCATCGTTGAAATCTTGTGCAATTAACTTAAAGCCAACTTGACTTGGCCAAAGGACAAGGACGAACAAGTGGGCGGGGCAGCAGGCCGAAGTCAGCCCAAGGAGGTCAGCATCGTTTCAAAAACTAATTGACATCGTTGCTCTGGCAGCCGCTGACAGCTGCCGCTGAGAGTCTTCCCCCGGCTCCATCTACTGCCCATCCTCCAGCTGGAGCTCCCACTCCTCCTGCTCCTCCTCCTGCTCCTGCTCCTGATTCCCATCTTCTGCCCGATCTTTATTCCCATCCAACCTGCTGTTATTCCCACTATCGCCCATCTGGTCCTGCTTGTTCTTGAAGCCTCGCAAATATTTTCACAGTTTTCGACTTGCTTTTTACCCCACACGGCAAGAAACTTGGAGATGTCTTACTATTTCATTGATTTTTATACTAATTTTATTCATTAAAGCCAGGAAATAATGGTAGATTTTATTATATGCCACATTTAATATCGAAGGCAGATAATTAAGCATATAGTTTGATTGTACCTTCTTATTTTTATAGATAATAATTAAAATTTCAAGGATTATTATTACTTTCCAAATCTCCTTGACCGCCTTAAAATACATAACTATCTGCAATACAGTGTCATAGCCCCATGCATATTTTTCTTATTAATAACATACAGTCTCTATTAAAACCCCCAACTCATTTAGATAATAAATACATAGAGAATTCATTATCACTGATGAAATGATAAGTATTTGATATAGAAACCCGTGCTTTGTGATACTATTAAAACGCGTAATATTTAAATATAGCTCAGGTCATGCTAGCTGGCATTTCATGAGTAAATTAACTACCCAACAAAATGAAATAGAAAATAGAAATCACATATTAGCCTATCGGGGGATATTTTTAAACTTAGCCCAGGTCATGCTTGTTGTTACCTTAGTATCTTTTACTTTACTGATATTTATAATACTTATAATTATCAGCTTGCGATATGCTGAGAATGTTAAGCCCAATGATAAGAGACCCCCGTGTAGTGGGGTGATAATTTCTCCAAGTGCACAACTCGTTCTCCCTTGGCAGTTTTAATTTAATTTTACACCGAATCCTGCACCCTGTCGTGTCGTGACCAGCGTCGTTCGTTGCAGGCGCCAATTTTCGCGCGTCCTTTTGCGGCCGCATTGCAGGACCAGAAAGGAAACTGGCAGAGCTGGCAACTATTGTCAGGGCCATTAAAAAAGTTTAGTCCGATTCGGGCTGGCACGCTTAATGGCCCTGATTTTAATCAGAAAATGAGTTAAAAGCCAGCTGGCGGCAGCGGCGGCATCAACGTCAACGCTTGACGATATCCTGCTGCCGTTGATTATTGTGGCGCCTTTGCCTTTTGCCACAATTACTTGCACACGTCGCCCAAGGCTGTGTGCTCCGTGCCGAGTCCTGCCAGCCGGATCCGGCACAATGCCACGGAAGGTAACACACAGTTCGGCGAAAGTTGGGCGCATTATAAAAGTTTTATCTGCAGCAGCGACAGCAGCGGCAAAAGTGACAGGAAAACAAAAAATTGCATTAACCACAGACGAGACTTGGGCGAACATTCATCATTATTTCTGGCGCTGAGATCTAAAGGGATTTAAGTGATAAGCCCAGGGAGTTGAAGCAGAAAGAATACTGAAAATCGTAGAAGACATTTTCAGATTCTTATTCCAATTTGTAAACTCAAATGCAAGTACTTCGTTCTAACTTCTGCTTAAAATATTTATGTGTATTATCGAGTTTCCATTTAATTTGGAGTAAATAATTAAATTTTGAAGAACTTGCAGTTTGCAATTGAATTATTGAATTGAATTTATTTATTGAATAGCATCGGAAATCCATCATAACTAAGCTTCAAATATTCACATTCTTGGAATCCATATTTTTATACAAATTGCAATAATCAACAATTAAAAATCTCATAACTAAGTCAAAAAGTCATTAATTTCAATTCGGAAAGCTGTCCCATGTTAGTTTTTATGAGGTTAACAATGCTGCAGTTTAAAATCTTAAAAAAATCGACAAATTTGACAATTTTAACGATGTAACCCCTTTCCTTTTTTTGCAAAAATGGAACATTTTTGAATAAAATTATTTTCTTCCGGAGATGGCAAGAAAGATTCGTCTGTTCGTGCAGATCAAGAATATAGATTTATAGGGTCGGAAATGACTCCTTCACTGCGTTGGAAGTTTTTGAATAACCTTATAATACCATATGCAGGGTTATTCAAATAAACTAGTTAAAAGTTATATTTATTTACTTAGCTTGCTTTTCCCTATCAATTCATGGCTTCGAAGTGAGTAGATAACCCGTTTTAACAATTGAATGTGCTTATCTTGAATCACAACCACTCATTGTCAAAACATTAATGCCTGATCAGCAACCTAATCGGCAGCTATATATTAACACCACGTTGCCAAAGTCTGACTGTAAATAAAAATAAATATTTAAAAAACCAGGGGAGAACAAGATGAATGAGTCACCTTATAGTTTGAATTCTAAACTGTTTTTACGTTGTTATTTAACTTGAAATGAATAATGTATACAATTCATAACAAAATATTTATTTTGTAAACATTTACATGAAACTTTGATGATTCACAGACCACCTATTTCTGTGAGACTCCATTGTTTTATGTATTGTTTGAATGAAGTTTAGAACCTTTTATTAGTTTAATAATTAATATATAGAAGTGTGAACAAAATTTCGATTTGAATTTATTAAATTTTAATGCCAAACAAAAACAAAAATTTCCAATAACCTTCTTGTAAAATTAAAAACGAAATCAATTTAAGAACTTTCAAGTAGTCAGAAGCACTTGCAATGCACAATGGAGGGTCCAAATTCCTCGTATTCCTGCCTCGAGATCCACATTTGCTGGAAGGTGGAGAGCGAGGCCAGGATGGCTCCTCCGATCCACACGCAATACTTGCGCTCCGGCGGCCCCACAATCCTGACCTTCCTGTTGGACGGAGCCAGGGCGCTGATCTCCTTATGCAAACGCTCGGCCATGCCCGGGAACATGGTGGTGCCGCCGGAGAGAACCGTGTTTGCATACAGATCCTTGCGTATGTCCACATCGCACTTCATGACCGAATTGTAGGTGATTTCGTGGATGCCACTGGAATCCATGCCCAGAATCGAGGGCTTGAAAAGTACCTCGGGGCAGCGGTAGCGCTCATTCTCGATCAATATGACTTGGCCATCGGGCAGTTCGTAGGTCTTCATTAGCGAAGAAGCTACCTCGGCAGAGGTGATTTGTTCCTGCTCAAAGTCCGGGGCCACATAGCATAGCTTCTCCTTGATGTCCCTCACGATCTCACGTTCAGCGGTGGTCGTCAAGGAGTAACCGCGCTCCGTCAGGATCTTCATCAGGTATTCGGTCAAGTCCCTGCCGGCCAGATTCATGCGCAGGATGGCATGGGGCAGGGAGAAGCCCTCATAGATGGGCACTGTGTGCGTGGCCCCATCGCCAGAGTCCAGAATGATGCCAGTGGTTCGCCCGGAGGCGTACAGGGAGAGCACAGCCTGGATGGCCACGTACATGGCCGGAACATTGAATCTCTCGAACATGAGTTGAGTCATCTTCTCGCGATTGCCCTTTGGGTTCAGCGGAGCCTCCGTCAGCAAAACCGGATGCTCGTCGGGAGCAATGCGCAGCATATCGTTGAAGGTGTGCTCCCAGATCATCTCCATGTCATCCCAGTTGGTCACCACGCCATGTTCGATGGGATACTTGATGGTGAGGACGCCACGCTTCGTCTGGGCTTCGTCGCCCACATACGACTCCTTCAGGCCCATGCCAATCATGACGCCCTGGTGACGTGGTCGTCCGACAATCGATGGAAAGACGGCACACGGAGCATCATCGTTGGCAAAGCCCGCCTTGCACAGACCGGATCCATTGTCCAAGACCAGAGCTGCCTTCTCTTCGTCGCCCATTTTGCTTTTCGGAATTGGAATTGGGTTTCTCAGTAAGTTTCCCATACAAACGGAGAGGTAAAAGGTCGGGCAAGTGATGATGGAAGAGTCTAGAGCCTACTTTCTGGATAAACTTATTCACTACTCTTCGAAAAATCTTTTAAAATATTTATATAAATTGAAAATTCAACACTGTTGATTTATTCTTGTTCGGAAAATGTCTTTCCGGAATTATTCAAAATTTCTTAAGACTGCTATTTCTTCTCCTGCTCCTGAATATTGGCTTTGCTCCTCAGATACAAACGGTTCCACTGCATAGGCGGAAAAGGTGTCATAGGCGGAAAAGCTGTCATTGGGGGAAACGGTGTCATTGGGGGAAACGGTGTCATTGGTTGAAAAGGCTCCATTGGAGGATAGGGCTCAAAGGGCTTCATGGTGAACAAAGGCGCAAAGGTTGAGAACTGGCCGCAATCTGAACCGCTGCACTGCGTCTGAGTTTGGGTGCCACTGCCCGTTTGCTGCTGCGACTGGGATCCGTTCTCGGAGCTTTGCGACTGACAGCCAGGTCCATACTGTGTCTGCGTTTGTTGGCCATTCTCCGAGATTTGTATGCCATTGCCTGTATTGCATTTTATGGACGCCGCCTGAATAGGGGATAAATAAAGCGTTGAGGTTACTTCCGATATCTGGCTTAATTTCACATTTTGTTAAGTGTTGCTTGATTTTAATAACAAAATAAATCCCAACTTCTAAACTCATCCCCTTTCCCCTACATTCAATCCTGATAGCACACAGAGTCCGGCGAGGAGAACGGCAAATATTGCTACGACTTTGCGTTGGGATTCCATGTTCGTGTGCTTAATGGCCCGAGAACAGACAACGACTGAGCACAACACCGTGTGTGTGCACACACTTTAAAGCGCCAACACAGCCGCCGTTGCGATAATTGAATGTATCGCCGATAAGGCCACCTTGAATTGAGTATAACATATATTGTGAGAACCATTAAATACTCTCTATGCCGCTCTCTGCTTCAGCTAGACGAAAGGTGTAACTTGGGTCAGCGATGATTAAAGGCAAATTTCCGAACCATATTATTAAATGAAAGATTCTTTCTGTCCTCTAGATGTTCGGTTAGATGGTAATGCAGTCTGTTGGCCATCTGATTTCTCTCAAACTAATATAGACAGTAAATATAGAAAAAGAAATTCATGGTATGTTAATTTCCCTTAGAAAATCAATAAGTGTGGAACTAACTGACAGATCAAGTGTGAGGAAATCTAGAAATTATTGTACAAATTTATACACCCCACTTTCAATTTCGTTTAGAAATGATTCTTGGAAAATATATAAGCTAAATAAATATCCTTGTTTCTTTAGGAATATCAAATTTAAAGTTAACCAAGCACATTCTTGTGATTATTTTCTCACAAACTAATATTACACAATTCTCCGAAATAATTTTCAATGTTCATTTATTGCTTGAAATTGAACTGCTCAAGTGCTGCCTTCCTAGGAAGAAGCCGATGTGGCAGGAGCAACGGTGGTGGTGGCTGGAGCAGCTGTGGTCACATCCACTGGGGCGGCGGAGGATGCCGCCACAACAGTGGTAGCATCAGTGGAAGGAGCCCCGCTCGTGCTAGCGACGGGGCTAGAAGCGGAGGGGGCAGCCGTTGAGGTAGTGGGCACACCGTACTTCAGGCAGCTATCCAGCAGATCATAGGTGGCGGCCGTATCCCGGACATAGTTGCTCTCCGTGGTGTTGGTGCACTGGTACTCCGTAGCCTGGATGGCCTTGATGCCCATGCTCAGGCTGCTGGCCGAGCTGGCGGCATTGGTGGCAATATCGTAGATCACAGAGACATCGCCCTCAGCCTAAGAGCAGATCAAGGGATTTTTATTAGTAGATCTTTGATTAGTCCGACTCTCTGGATGACTCACCGCACTGGCGTAGCAGTTGAAGAAGGTGGTGGTGTCGTTGTCACTGTCGCAGGCGGAGAAGGCGCTGCAGAGGGTGGAGACCTCGCCCTGGTAGACCTTCTGCTGCTGCTCCGCCTGGGCGGTCAGGTTGGCTGTCTCCGCATTGGCCGTGTTGATGCAGGCCTGGTAGGAGCTCGAGAAGGTGGCGGCCACCTCGTTCAGCATGGGCAGATACAGGTTGAAGCACTGGGTGGTCACATCCGGGGAGACAATGGTGTCCAGGTTGCGGGCATGCACCATGTACTGGTCCAGGGCGCTCTGAATCTGCAGCTGGCCGTTGGGCTTCGCCTAGAATGGAAACGGAAGTAGTTACAACCGGAAGAGCGACCATGGTGTGCTAGGTTGACTTTACATTGGTGGCGGCCAGAACGCTGGCCAGGATTAGCACGCTGCAGAGAAGCTTCATGTTCGTTTCGTTCGCTGGCGGTTGGATCTTAACTGTCGCTGCCGGAGAACTGGCCCATTTGCTTTATATACTTCGGCCCACGGGGCGAATGATTGATCCGTTCGGGGGCAATGTGAATGTGAATTTTTGGTGAATTTTTTCACGCGACGGCGACGGCGTCGGCGATCAATTAGGTAGCATTAAGGCGGTATGCGTAATGCCCAGACCCACAAATTACTTTGCATGTGCATTCCCATTTCCATTCCCGATGCCATTCACGTGTAGTCAGGGTTAAAAGCTGATTGCGATAAGGGCCAAGATGGCCCACCACCGGAAGGTGGCTTTGCCAGCGGGCCTTTGAACTTGTCAAATGCAATCCCCAGATGGCTTAAGGGCTCACGATCCAATGGAATCGATTGCTGTAACGATTCGGTAACAACTTCCCAAAACCCCCGTTATCTCTGGCATATCATATGAGGTAATTAATTACGGGGACAGGCACAAACTTGCCTCCCTCGACTTTCACGGTGGGAAAAGTTTGGATATTTTGGCCAAAAGTATACACCATTTTCTGCCCCTTTCGGTTTGACAGCCACTGAATCGATATTTGCAGACGGAACCCAGAGATAAGGAACAGCAGACCTATAAACAAACAATGCATCAATGTCAGATTACATTACCAACTTTGGGACAATTTACGTGGAAATTTCGCTCCGATCGGGTCGACTTTTTGGCCAGTCGTCGGACATGAAGGCAGCTATAACCATCATACTCCTGCTGGCCCTAGGGGTAACATTATAATACTACATGTATATTACCATTATTTCTTGTATATATCTTACAGACCTTGGCTGATAAGCCCCGTGCCCTCAACAGTTTGTGTCATTATCTGGATTTGAGCAAGGAAACCGCCTCCAATATGGGGATCACGAAAAAGTGTTTCGCTCAATATTTGCCAGAATTGGAGAGCGAGGGAGCCACCTGGTCACAAGGTTACAGTGGCTGCCAAAAGAAGGCCTCCAGTGAGCAGCAATCGGTGCTTTTAAAGGCCAATTTAGCTCAGGAATATATACGGGAAGCTGCCTTGAGCATAACAGACTTTATCGATCAGTGTTTGACCCTGATGGAGGCCCAGGAATTTTTCGATTGCTTTGCTAAAATGGTAAGTAATAAGCGGAGTTTTTCATGACTATAAATACAACTTCTTGTATTTCTTCAGGCCAAATTGCAGTTGACTAAAGTCTACAATATATCATTTAATGCCTCGGAGCAGGGTTTGATCCTAAATAAACATTTGAGCAGCATTGAAATGGAACATTATTTGTGCACAAATCGAACGGAAGATACTTACATAGAGGGAACGGATAAAATCTTCCAGTCATTGGATCAATGTCTTCAACAGAATGATACGCATTAAACAAAACAGTTTCAGATATATGTTGTGTTACAAAAGTTGCAAGTCATTGTTTATTAGTGTTCAAAATTAGTAACTAAACATACATACTTACTGGTCATAGGCACTTACTGATCAGAGTTACTTAATATTTATTGATACTTACTGGTCAGAGTTACTTAATATTTATTGATACTTACTGATCAGAGTTACTTACTGCTCATAGTTACTTATTGTTCATAGTTAAATTAAATATCAGCTCGCTGCTCCTCTCTGCCTCTCCCCCTCTCACTCTATGTTAATCTCTAAGCGCAACTGCTTCTCTCCCACGCACTCACACTCACTTTCTCTGCTCTTCTCTGCTCTGCTCTTCTCTGCTCTGCTCGGGGACTATAAATAGAGGCGCTGAGGTCGCGCGCGCCTCAGTCTGTCCTAGGGGTACCTAGTGTTAACATCAATAGTGATAGTGCAAGTGATCAGCCTTCGACTTTAAAAATATGACGGCCAATGAAACACATCTGGATGACTAGGAAGATGCTTACTTTGGATTAACTAATATATGCCTTCTAAAATGTATGATGTAAAGAGGACTTAATCAAAATATCATTAGTTAGATTACATTTATTGAGAGAGATATCAATTCAAGTCTTAAAACTATAACGGCGTCTTATCTAAATTCGTAGAATTCTTGCTTTATAAAAATAGTGTTTATTCCCCTATACTTCCTGCTTACATGATAACAGAGCAGCTTTATCTACTCCATTAGCTCATCGACTTCCAATCGACACTGGGTGAGCTCCCTGTGTGCCTCCCTAAGGTCCTCCATGTAATCCTTTTGGGCTTCCAGGCCGCACAGTAAGAAGGTGCGATGCAAGGCATCATAATCCTCACGCATTCGCGTATAAGCATGGGTGGCATTATAATTTATTTCGTTCAATATTTCTAGGTTGCGATTACTCTGGAAAATGGGATAATTAGGCAATACTCTTTATGGATATATCACTTAATTTGAGTGACTCACATTCTCGCTGATGCACTTCAAGTACTCCAGATTATCCTCCAAGACTTCACAGACCTGCAAATTCTCGCAGACTGCACTCGATCCCAGTTCGATTTGCGTTCTTTCCAGCTCCACGTCCACCTCCAAGTTGACTATGGTCTCGTTGGCATGCAGTTCGCAGAGTTGCAGGCTGGCGGAGTACACCGAAGAGGCATTGGCACAGGCCACCGTGAACTCATCGTGGCAGTCATCTATCCCCAGATCCGGCATGGCCGTGGGCCACTCCACCAGCTCCAACGAGGAGCCGACCTGAAGGCAATGAAGCAGCGATATGACGAGCAGCCAGCCGAGGCGACAGCGCGTCTCCTCCGACTTTGCGATGTGGCGTGGCGTTTCCATTTGACCACAGATCTCGAATGCTTCGACGAAACCAAGCAACGACGACGCTAGTCTAGAGTGCCGCTCGGCTAATTGATCATTTCCTAATAGCTCTCTCTTGCGAAGCCCTTGACTTTATTGGCCAGCCGAAGGCCAAACGATTTACGACAAGTTCAGGTGTTCCACTTATCTGCCTGCGTGCACCTTGATTGCAAATGTCGCCGTCGGTTCGAAGCCCTCTGATCGGATCGCTCTGCCCTGCACTCTCTCAGAAAATAGAAAACTATTCCTCAGCAAACAGCGTAAAAGCCCAGTAGACCAAGAGCTACTGGCGCTTGTCCACCTCCAATATGCGAGATATGTCATTAAGCTATCACTTATCAGTGATAAGAACTTCCTCTCGAGCAGCGACGCAGGTCTCTAAAGGGGTTCGAAAATCACTCATTTTGCTGTAATCTGTTTGTTGTATATTTAGTTTGAAGCTAATCTATCAATAATCCCCGATAAGGCATTCATTTAATACAGAGACGTGGGTTTAGGGGATTATGAATGGGATCTTGTTCTTGTATAATATCGGTTTTTATTTAATTATATATTTAATTTGCCCCTGTTTTTACCCCTTTCAAGTATTCAGTTTTCTTTTGAACCCAAAAGTATTCTACGCTTTCTAAGTAAATGATTTATTGGGACTTTAATTAAATATATATATGTAAGCATATATACGTGACAAATCATAGTAAACGCAATAAATATAAATTAGTTCGTGTTATCGGTGTTTTGAATTTAGATAAAGCGCTTGAACAGGTTCCAGATTCCCTTCTGGGCCAGAGGCAGAGACCTGTCCAGATCCTCCTCGGGAGCACGCTCTGTGGTGGGAACAGCGGTGCTGATCGGAGCCTCAGTTGGCACAGCAGGAGCCTCAGTGCTAGGAGCAGCAGTACTTGGAGCAGCAGTGCTTGGAGCAGCAGTGCTAGGAGCAGCAGTGCTAGGAGCAGCAGTGCTTGGAGCAGCAGTGCTTGGAGCAGCAGTGCTTGGAGCAGCAGTGCTTGGAGCAGCAGTGCTAGGAGCAGCAGTACTTGGAGCAGCAGTACTTGGAGCAGCAGTACTTGGAGCAGCAGTACTTGGAGCAGCAGTGCTAGGAGCAGCAGTACTTGGAGCAGCAGTGCTAGGAGCAGCAGTGCTAGGAGCAGCAGTGCTTGGAGCAGCAGTACTTGGAGCAGCAGTGCTTGGAGCAGCAGTGCTAGGAGCAGCAGTACTTGGAGCAGCAGTGCTAGGAGCAGCAGTACTTGGAGCAGCAGTGCTAGGAGCAGCAGTGCTAGGAGCAGCAGTGCTTGGAGCAGCAGTGCTTGGAGCAGCAGTGCTAGGAGCAGCAGTGCTAGGAGCAGCTGTGCTTGGAGCAGCAGTGCTGGGAGTATTAGGAGCATCCGTGGGAACCTCGCCTCCGTTCAGGCAAACCGTGAGGCTCTCATCGCAGGAATCCATATCGTGGGCATAGGTCACGCGAGCCTCATCCACGCACGTGGTCAGAGCAGTCTCGATGACGCTGTATTGGGCATTGATGCGATTGAAGTCCAGATTGGAGTCACTGTTCAGTGTGAACATGGTCTTGTAGCTGTCGGTGGACTACAAATATAATGATAAATTCTTTAAATAAATTTGTATTAATTATTTTTAGCTACACTTACGGCATCGCGGTAGCACTCGAAGAAGTCTAGACCATCGCGCAGGGTGTCGCATGCGGTAAGGCTGGTGCACATGTTGTTGGTGCGCTCGATGAGATCCTCCCTCTCCGAAGCGCTCTCCTGGGTGAGCTTGTTGCGATCCTCATCGGCGGTGTTCAGGCATCCGGTGTACTCCTTGTTGTAGTTCATGATCACATTGGTCTGCTCCGTCAGGTAGTTGTTGAAGCAATTGTTGACCGAGGCATCGTCCCGGGGCTCCGGAGCGGCCATCATGTGGCGCATGGCGAACTGCTGGCGGGTCAGCATGTTGGCCAGGTCAGCAGGATGCTTTGGCATCAAAGCAAATGCACTGGTGGCCAGCAGGAGGCACAGGGAAACGGAGAACTTCATGGCTTTTCGCGATTTAAAATAATACTCCGGACTTGGCTAACCGACGGATCACGAGTTCGAACTGATGGCCACTGGGCTTGGACACATATTTTTATAGCTACCCCGAAAATGACTTCAATGACAGACCATTAATACATACTGATTAAAAGCTAATTAAATTGCTATCTAGTTCCCAAAATCGGCGCCGAGATTCGATTCGATCTGATTCGTATTACTTTTAATAAGTTTTCTTGTGACTAAACCTCTGAAAATAGCCCGGTTATCTGGCATTGGTAGTATTCCCAATATAAAGTAGTTCTATGGCTACTTATCTGCTGTCCATTTTTAATTGGTTTGTTTCTTGGCCATTTGATGGGTTAGTCAAGTGCCGGTTATTACTGTACTTAGCAGTTTCGATAAGGCGCACTTCGCACTTGCCAAAGGTATCTTTAGTGGCTTGTGAATCACTTTGGGTACTTTCAAAAGTTTCTTATTTTGTGATTGGTGAAGCCTAAGCTGTAAATATTCTTTAACTAGATTTTGATGGGTATTTATAATTATATATAATCATAATAAAATTAATTAATTCCATCCCCTTAACAAAATTGAGATAGATCTTTTTCTTATTTTTTTTTTTTTTATAAATAACTTAGATGTGTATATTTATTTTTTATTTTTGCTTCGATTATATATGTACATAATAGTAGACTTTGGGCTTATTGGGTTTTCAACCATTTCTGCAGATTGTTCAGAATGTTCTGAAGGTTCTGGTTGCTGTTGCCAGTGTAAATCTGCTTCAAGTCTTCCTCGGGAGAGTCGGCAGCAGTGGAGCTGGAAGACTCCGGGTCGGCGGTAGAGGATTCAGGAGCCACAGAGCTGGAGGATTCTGGCTCAGCGGATGAAGAATCAGTGGAGGGTTCAGGAGCAGAGGAGCTTGAAGACTCTGGCTCGACAGTCGAGGAATCAGTGGAGGGTTCAGGAGCAGCGGAGCTTGAAGACTCTGGCTCGACAGTCGAGGAATCAGTGGAGGATTCAGGAGTCGCGGAGCTGGAGGATTCTGGCTCAACAGTGCTTGATGATACCGGCTCGGAGGATGAGGAGTCAGTTGAGGACTCCGGATCCAGAGACGACGAGGTTTCGGGAGCAGCCGTTGAGCTAGTCTCCGTCGGGATGGGAGCACCAGCGAAACAGAGGTTCAACGATTCGTAGATGTCGGCGGTGTCCTCGGCGTAGGTCCTTTGGGTCTTGTTGGTGCAAGCGAACTCGCTCACCTGGATGAGACGCACCTCCTCCTGGACGTAGGCCAGCAGCTCCGAGGCATTGGCTGAGATGGTGAACATTGACTTGGCATTGGAGGCGCCCTGGAAAATATGAGAATGAAAAGCTATAATAAGAAATTAGCTAACAAAATTGTTGCTGTCTACAACATATCAGCATGATTTTTCAAAACTATTAAATTATATATTTATAGCATATCAAAATCGTATCTGTGGGCTATGGATTTTGTCAGATTTCTAACTAACAGATTGCTTAGAAAAAAGGCTGTTAATCTCAAGCACAAGAACAAGATAGTAATACGAATTTAATTATGTTTGGCAAATAGTTTGGAACTTTAACTTTTATGTAAGTCAATTATTTGTCTAATACCCTTCTTTTAATTTATACAAAATAACCATTGAATGTCAAATTCCCTTCGACACTTACCGCTCCGGTGTAGCACTGGAAATACTCCTCGGCGGCGGTTAGCTTGCTGCAGGCCTCTAGAGCTTGGCAGGACTCTGTAGCGGAGTTGTCAATAAGGACGCGGTTCTCCTTGGTGTCATCATCGATGGCTGCCACCTGCTGAGATGCCTCGTCCAGGCAGGCCTTGAAGTCGTTATTGTACTTCTCCACAGCCCCGTTCAAAAGCGGGGTGTAGTAGCTGAGACACTCCAGGGAATGGGCTCCATCATTGGAAATGTCGCGGGACTGCATCAGGAACTGCATGAAGTTCGTATCCGGATGGGTGAGCACCAGCGAGGGTGCCGGCACAGCCAGGATTTCGCTCAGGCCAATGGCCAAAAGGACCGCGTACAGTTTAAACTGCATTTTTCGAAGGAAATCTTTGTGATTTATTATTAAATTAACTGGAAGAGATCCGCGTTGTCGTTTCGCTGACGATTAGTTCGCTTTTGGTGGATCCACCTGCCCGCTGCAGTATTTATAGGCACTTGGGTGAAGTGGTCCATAAAAGCGTTCCTGCCTATAGTTTTCCAGTAAAAAACGGCATGTTATTGCCGTGTATATGTTATTACCTAGCATTTGGGCTATCAAACAAGCTATCTCAAATAGTCAGGGCGTTGTTGTTATCATTCTTATCGGCTTTATAACGCCACTCCATGGGGACCCGCCCCGGCGAATCGGATTTGCGCAAAAGCAGCTCAAGGGTTCTCCTCACATTTTTGTACTCTTCATCAATGTCAACACTTCCCAGAATCGCACAAAGTGCGTATATATTTTAAAATCCAGTAAGGAATAACTTTCTCTGAGTTATCCCATTGGAAAACCACATGAATGTCCAGATAGTGCAAGTATTATGGCAATGGAACCTATAATCTAATCAATTTGGAGTACTTTATTCTGGGGAAGACACACACGTGTGAAGTCTATATGTCTGCTTTCCACTTTGATTTCTAGGAAATACTCAAGTCCCGAATCGATTCTCTATCGTCATGACGAGCTGTTATTGGCCAGAAATAAATATTGATATGAAAAACAAAAATTGCCATTGTAAAGTTGGGGAAGAACGTCATTTTACTAAAAATAATTTAGTTATAGAAACCTAAACACAAAAATCCTTAAAAAGAAGAAATTCTTAAAGGGTTAAGAGCACTTACTTCCAGTGTATTTATCAAGGTTAAATTCCTTACTATTTCTAAGGATTTCCCTGGTTCTTATCTATTTACTTACAAGTCAATATTTGTTTAAAGATTGATTATTATGTATGACTAATAAGCAATGTCCACTTGGGCTTTATCAGAGAGTCACTTGTCGGTCATTTACAGGCGACATAATAATTACATTTAAACCCAAAAAGATACTCCAGCACGATGACTCACTTTGGCTTAAAAACTCATACAAATCGGCCAAGTTTATAGCGCCAATGCGTCGCCTGCCTTTGCATAATTATCGAAGCTCAGTGGAGGACAAGGACAACTTCTAATTTGCATATCTTAATTGCGTGTTCTTTGTGCGTGTGAGAAGGCATAGGGATGCAGGGATGCAGGGATACAGGAATGTAGGAATGCAGGAATGCTAGGAAACGGGATTGCAGGATACCCTTGCCAAGTTATTGGCTCCTCCTACGAGTGGAAATCTCTTACCGGCAGCGAGGCTTCTAATTTGTTTTAATTGCAGTGACAACAAGGCCGCCGGGCAGGAAGCTGCACAAACAATACCCAGAACCTGCAATTAAATTTGAATAAAACGCAATGCCTCTCCTATGTTTATTTAACTGCAGCTCCTCTATGTACCTTAAAGTGTGCTCCCCGGCTCCTGTTTGTTTGTGCTGTTTGTCCTCCTCGGGGCGAAAAGTTTCCCCAAGCTGATTTACATGTTTGCCCTCTCTATATCCGCATCCTGGTGCCCCCTATCGTGTCCTGCGGATCTTTGATAAACTTGGACGACGACGACTAGGACGACGACTGATGGCAAATGCAAAAAGTTTTATTTGCATCGCATCAGGTTGGTTTTTCCTACTCAGCTTACCACCGAGATCGGGTCCAGGGACCCTTAATTAAGTAAGTTGCAATGGGTTTTAGTTTCTCGTTTGAGTTTCCAGATTGACTTCATCACTGGATGCCATCTGTTGGTGAGAAACAGCCTTCGCCTTCTTTCAATTACCTTGACAAGTCACTGGGAAAAGTACCTGCCTACAGTTTGGCAAAGAAAAGTCGAGAAATTGGTGTGCAATTTTAAAGGTAATTGTTATCCTATAGACCTAAACATGACTAACTTTTTGTTTTGATTAGATTAGCAAGACAAGTTGTAGGTTTTATAATCAATCACTATGACTTTTGATATTAATATATACCAATTTTTGTTATATACCTCATATATATATTTTGAATAAATACTCTTTTAATGCAATTATTTATTTGAAAACCATCTCTCTTACAGAAGATGCTTGAGAATGTTGTCCAACTTGTTCATCCACTGCTTCTTCTCCTCAGCGCTGCCATGGCCATGACTGAAAGGCGAAAGGGTCGAGGGTGGATACGTCGGAGGTATCCATGAAGAAGAGGGCTCATCCGTGGTAAAGATGGGCTGGCTAGTAGTGGTAGTAGGTTCCTCCCACCTCGTAGTATCGGTAGTTTCGGTGGGTCTGGGGGTGGTGGTAGGCTCGTTGGTGCTGGACTCAGTGGTGGTGGGCTCAGGGGTAGTAGTGGGCCGCCTAGTAGTGGTGGTAGTGGGTTCCGGAACAGGAGTTTTGCCAGCCAGGCAGCTCTGGAAGCTTTCGTAGGACTTGGCGGAGCGGGACTCATAGTTGCGGGCCGAGTTGCTGGTGCAGGCATCACGGGTGTAACCCAGGTTGGTGATCTCCTGGTTCAGGCTTCCGGCGGCAATAGAGGCGTTCGTGGCCACGCTGTACACCTCCTTGGAGTTTTCAGTGCCCTGGAAAGAATATTGTATATTAAATATTTGATTCATATATATCCAGTGAATTCCATTTACCTGAGCGGAGTAGCAGTTAAGGGAGTCCAGGCTGTTGTTTCTCTGGTCGCAATCGATCAGAGCCTTGCAGGAGGCATACGTGGAGTCGCTCAGCTCCTTGACATTGCTGTTGTACTTCTCCAGGACTCCGTTCCTGCCGGCGCCGAACTCGTCCTCGCATTGCGCATACTCAGCCTCGTAGACCTTGTAGTCCTCGTCGAAGACGCCCTGGTAGTAGGTGAAGCAGGCAGTGGCCAGGGCGGGATTGTTGCGCTGCACTTCGCTGGTGGAACTCATGATCTCGAACATCTTCGAGGGTCCCGAGACCAGGCTGGGATTCGCGGAGGAGGAGCCAATGGCCACGGCAGCCAGCAGAATGGCGATGAAATGGGTATGCATGTTGCTTGCTTCGCGGTTCGTTCGTAACTTGGTCTAAACCGGCAAACGGCTAACGTTTTTATGGCCACCAAAAATTATCAAGAGCTGCCATTGATCGCCGGGGATTTTGTGATATCACGTCGTCGCTGATAAGGTTTCTATCAGCCTTGCAATCCACTGAACTTGGGTTACTTTCCTTAGACAGTGCGTAAACATCCGGTAAGTGAAATCTGGGAATGTAAAATCATTATCACGCATATCAGACATTGGGAGGTCATTCCCTCGTTACCCTCATCTCAACGATTTGCAATAAATTGATTTAACTCATAATTGGTAATACCAAAATTCTACTGATAACTATCTGAAGGCACTCCCTTGCCTCTCTCGCTTTAACAACCTCGATTTTTGGGTATTAAAAAAAGCAATTGACAAACCCCAATTTTGGCCTTTTTGCTGTTTGCAAATAAAGCGTAAAAAAGGGGAAACCTTGCGCCAAATTTCCGTTTTAATTTTTATATCACAGACTCGATCGCTTTCCAGGAATCGGTCATTATTATTTTTAAATCAAGATAATTGTTCAACAAAAGGTAATTAATTTATAAAGTGAGTAAAGAGAAGATTCCAAGAAATGAAGATACTACAAACTGTAAATAATTCTTTGGAGATTAACTTATGCAACTTCGAACATTTATTTTAAAAATATAGTATTAATAATATAATTTGCTTAAGTATCTCCAATTTATTAGGGATATAGAAAGGTTTAAACAACTGGATTACACTATGGAAACCGGCACTGAAGACTCTCCCGAAAGGCAGCTCTGGAACTCCTCGTAGGAAGCATCGTAGCTGATGTCATAGTTGCGAGCCGTCGTATTGGTGCACAGATCCCGGGTGTACTCCAACTGAGAGATCTCCTGGGTCAAGGAACCGGCGCTAATGGAGGCATTGGAAGCAATGCTGGCCACCTCCTGAGAGTTGTCACTACCCTGCACAGCAAAAATAACTTAAAATATCTGATTAAATTCCAAAGGATGTAGATTACCTGACTGCTGAAGCAGTTCAGCGAGTCCAGACTGTTATTTCTGGCGTTGCAGTTGATCAGGGCTTGGCAGGATTTGTAAGTGGAGTTGCTTAGACTCCAAACAACACCATCGTACCGCTCCAGGACTACCTCCTTGCCAGTGCTAAACTTATTCACGCACTCGTTGTACGCTGCCCGATAAACCTCGTACTCCTTGTTGAAGATCTCCTCGTAGTAGGCGAAACAGGGGGCGGTCAGGCCAGGATTAAGCTGCTGCAGCTCACCGACGGCACTCAGTAGCTGGAACATCTTCGAGGGTCCTTCAATGAGCCTGGGACTCGTGAGGGAGTAGCTGAATGCCAAGGAGGCCAGAAGAAGAGCAAACGTAAAGGAATGCATTGATTTCTTTTTTCAAACTTTGTCTAAATTAAATTCGCAACTGGGCAAGGCTTTTATAGACCCAAAAATATGCTGATTCCACAAAAAATTCAACAATATTTACTTAAATTATCTTGCTAATGATGGATTGAAAACAAATATTTAAAGATATACACGTGCTTAATGCAAAAATCCAATGATAACTATGTAGACACAAGACACCCCCGCAGTCTGGCTAAAACAAAGCACCTTTTATAAAGGTGACTAACCCAACATTCCGCCTTTAATATCTGAAATTAAATTTATGGACAAAGGGAGAGTCCAAAAAAAAATATATGAACGGAAATGGTTGAAACTATGTTACTAGGTTGATTGATTAAATAAAAAGTTGACACCTATAATTTCATAAGGTTCTTATCGGAAACTAAAAAAGAAAACACCGAATGTACTTTCCGTTTGCATTACTTTCTTTAAGGAAGTTAAACCCCAATTTTGTCAGTCATAAATTTAAGTAAATTTGCTACCTACTTTACCTTTTCGAATTAACTTTTTTTTAGAGAGGGTTTCCCCGCAAAACAATGGTTTTTTTCAATATTTAATGCCACCCAAGTTAGTTCCGATTAGATCTTTCATCGAATTTTGATAAGGAAATTATCAAATTATGTCAACAAATTTTTATTTAGTCAGCCAACCTTAGCTTAGTTCTATTTCGAAATATATATGTATATATGATTCATGATAGAGGTATTGTAAAAAGTGAAACGAACCTTTGATGAAATTAAAGACTTAATTGGAATATCGAATAATAGTTTAATTACAATGAATTTACATGAGTGTTTATATTTTGACTAAAAGCATTGATTGATTTTCATTCCTTCCTTCATTTAGCCTTTTCTTTAAAGGCAAAAGTTATTCAATTTTCCTTGTCTCATACGTATGGGGTTCCCCTTTTTTAGTATTTACCAGTCTAAGTTTAATCATCCGTACCCCAGGTACATTTCGCATGATAAGTTGTTAAAGATTTTCGCACTAAACATTAACTTCTGGGGAGTGTTTATTTTATTTATCAGTCTCATTCTCATATAAATGCAATAAGTTTAGGCTAATTCAAATTAGTACTCTTAAGAAATTATTAGATTATGCTGCGTAATTTGTATATATTTTGATTTTCTTACTAACTTTGAGAAGTAATTAATTGTTGTTATTAGCATTCTTCTTTGAGCTAAGGACATGTGTGACAAAGGGCGATGAGAAAAGTTGTTATCAGCACTTCATGACGTATAATTGTTTCTCCGATAAGCAGTAAGTTACCTCAACTTATTTTCATCCTAAAAGTAGTTCAACCAATCAATCATGCGAGATAAGACCGGACTTTGGGTAATATTGAGAAGAGGTTAGTAAACAAATGGGCAATCAATTGGTTTTACACTTGATGCGATCATTTTAGAATGTATTTTTAGAAAAATTCACTGAAAAAGATATGCGAAAAATAGTAATAATGTTTTTAATAAGACTAGGTTATCTACTTCCTGACCAATTTTATGTCTTTACGATTGTCGAAAGCGTGTCATAAATTATTTTTGTTCTGAGAAGAAAGATATAGATTATAGGCAGTGAAATGTTATTTAGAAATTTCAACCATTTAAAGTTAATATTTGAACAATTTATAATTTGTCATTGAAAAAATATTATTGTACTTATTTAAAGTCATTTTCTAAAAACAATTAATTAAGACTTGATTTTCTAATTTTTCCTGTAACTTCCTAAAGGAACTATTTTGTAGGTCTGTAAAATTTAAGCCCATTTTTTTTATACTTAGTCAGGTCAGCATACATTTAATATGAGTAATTTTTTTCAGTGCCCCCCCAAGAAGAGGAAGTTATATTAATTATTTTTCTTATCACCGGCAAGATATAAGAAAAGTCTTACCCTAATTTATGGCGTTTCAATAATGCGATATATGGCCTATAAAAATGGCCATTTTCTCGCTTTTGACCAAGTTACGAACGAACCGTCGAGCAAGCAACATGCAAGTCCAATTCATCGCCATCCTGCTGGCCGCCGTGGCCATTGGCTCCTCCGCCGCGAATCCCAGCCTGGTCTCGGGACCCTCGAAGATGTTCGAGATCATGAGTGCCACCAGTGAGATGCAGCGCAATAATCCCGCCCTGGCCACTGCCTGCTTCACCTACTACCAGGGCGTCTTCGACGAGGACTACAAGAGCTACCAGGTGGAGTACGACGGGTGCACCAGCAAGTTCGACTCGGGCAAACTGGATTCCATGGAGCGCTACGAATCCTATGTCTGGACCCTGAGCAACTCCACGTATGACTCCTGCAGGTTCCTGCTCGAATGCGACCAGGCTAACAACAGTCTGGACTCCCTCAACTGCTACTCCGCCCAGGTAATTTTGCTAATTAAAGCCTTAGTTCTCTTAGTTATCTAAGTTTTTCAATTCCAGGGCACTAATCACTCTAAGGTGGCCAGTGACATCTCGCACGATGCCGCCGTCTACATCGGAGCTCTGATGCAGGAAATCTCCCTCTACGAATTCGCCCGCAATGCCTGCATCACCGATTGCACTCACAACTACGAGGTCCGCTCCGACAAGTCCTATGTGGAGTTCCAGAGTTGCCTGGATGGCAAAACTGCAGTGCCAGAGCCAACCGTGGCCCCCGTAGATCCCAACAGTTTCAAGGCCAATTCTGTGCCACAGTTAGCCAGCGAGGAAAAGAGCAGCCAGAAACAGGGATATGCCAGAAAGCTGGAAAGCCTTTTCAAGCATCATCCTTAGAAGAAGAGGGGTTTATGCACAATGTTATATTTAAATAAACTGTATATTGTTGAAATATCGCATCAAATCTGGAATAACAATTTGCCAAAGGTGGGCTTAGAAAATCTTAATTGGTTTTTAGGAATATGTGCTAAGATTTCTTCCTTTAAAAATCTCATAACTAAGCCAAAAAGTCATTTATTTCAATTCGGAAAGCGGTCGCATGTTAGTTTTTATGAGGTTAACAATTCTGCATACTCAGTTTAAAATCTAAGAAAACCGACTTTTTTGACCATTTTAACCTTTCCTTTTTTTGCAAAAATTGAACATTTTTGAAAAAAATTATTTTCTGCCGGAGGATGTCTAGAAAGATTTGTCTGTTCGTTCAGATCAAGAATATATATGATATGTGGGGTCGGAAATGACTCCTTCACCCTGTCTGACTTAAAATAATAATACCCTGCTAAGTATAAAAATAGATATATATGGAAGTTTATTAACCTATTTTGTTCGGATTCTCTGCTAATTTTCAAAAATAAAACAATTGCGCAACTTGATTGTGATTATCTGCTGAACGGTTTAACAAGAATGACTGAAAGTTGACTCACACCGGAGATAACCTTTCAATTATCCAAAATTGTTAAGCTCCATGGTATTTCGGGGCGTATGATTAATTTTGTTTACCTGCCATTGCAGGTCTGCAATTCCTCAGCTGTCGCTGCCTCTTCTCCTGCCTGAGCTGCATACTAAGCAGGACTTTGGCGGCCAACGTTTCTGCAACTGCAAAAGGATGCACTGAAATAATTTGGGGGATACAAATATTTATATTTATACTCTTTCGCGAGATTTCCCAAAGAAAAAAATATTTATAAATATGGATCTAAAGCCTCCTTAATACATTTTTCTTGATGAAGCATCTCTTTCCGACCCTATAAATCATATATATTATTGATCAGCATCAAAAGCCGCATCAATCTAGCCGTGTTTTGAAGGAAAACAATTTTTGTCAATTTTTTTCAAAATTTTATAAGGAGTTACATCGTTAAAATTGTCAAAAACCGTCGATTTTTTAGATTTTAAACTGAGTATGCAGAATTGTTAACCTAATAAAAACTAGCATGGGAGATCTTTCCGAAATGAAATTAATGGATTTTTGCCTTAGTTATGAGATTTTTAAACTTTAATTTGTCAAGAAAAAATGTCATAAAAATTTCGATAAATATCTCGTACTTTTGTAAAATCTTAGAGAGAGGAAAGCATTTTTCTAAGACTTCAATTGATACATATTTAAGGGGAAAATCTATAATAAGAACTTTCTTAGGAAAACGGAGAAATGGAAATTGTATTTGAATACTTTCTCAGCGTGTGCTGGCCTGGCCCCAAGGTTTATTTCCACTCAAAGCTGTCAGGACGAAATGAAGTCGAGGAGCTCCGTCTGAGCTCCGTCCGCGTGGCGCTGAGCAGCAGCCGCTGATGGATTGTCAGTCGGGGGAAAGTGGTGTTAAATGGCGCAAAAATAAGTGTAATTGTTTTGTAAATGGCCCCGTAGTAAAACAATTTTCAATGCGTCTGCTGTCAGTCACTCTCCCGCCTGGCAACTCACTTTTCGCTCACTTCCCTGCACTTGACTCGGCTTGAGTAAAGAAAAATCACCTGGTACTCGAACTCGTACTAGTATAATTTAATTTACGGCACCCACTTCTTGGAGCACTGTCAGCCGAAGGTATTGTTGTTGAGTGATAGGAATCGAAAGCACATGGCTAAGTGACTAATTAGCCAATAATGATGGCGTTATAAAGGAATAAAAATTGGCCAGGAAACTTGATAACATAAGTAGAGGGGATCGAGTCCAATTGGAGTACCCTAAAAATCAGTGGAGGAAACACTACATAAAATCCTAAATGATGAACTTGCCATTATTATATATTGAGTCAGAATAGGAAGCGGATGTCCGTAGAAATTACCTTTAAATTAACTTATAAATGATATTTATGAGGAGGTACAGGTACCTGATTAGATGTTCTTATTATATCATTTTTAAACTATACAGAACTATAACTTAGATACACCACCGTATAAGTATTAAGAACTATTTATTCTTATCCCCCAAAAAACTCTCTCTACCACCTGAGCACTTCTTAAAATTACATTCAAGATTTTACTATATTTAATTCTCAAAAAACTGACCAACAAACTGACGACATCAATTTCACACTCCGCTTATCGCCAACGCAGAAATACGTCATCAAATGCCGATAAGAAGGTTCTCCTTTGCTCTAACTGAAAGTTGATAACACATTTTTTGATTGCAATTATTGGCTGGTAATTAAAAACCAAACAAGTTCCACCCAAAACAAAGGGTATAGTAGTATATGTGACCTTTAATATTTGCACCAAACCAAGGGCAAAGAGAAGCTAATGAACAATTCCGGGTAATACATTATTCGATTAATTTTACAAGCTCTCGCCACAAATATAGCACATTACGTATACGCCCCGATGTCACTGTCCATTATTAGTGCTATTATTATTATTATAAACTAGGAACACTGCAATAACAGAGCTGGATTTTACGATTTGCCATAACAAGAAGCGAAGCAATTAAAGGAAACGGCGCTATACTCTATATATGTATCTATATATATAGGAAGATATATATATCCAGCCTCACACACAGGCAGAGCAGCCATAAAATCCTGGGCACTGGACACGCTGTAGCTTTATGAGGAGCGCGTGAAATTCAATTAAAACGCATGTTCGATATTAGTTACAATGGGGCGAGCGATAGAGGAGGAGTGTGGCTGGGAGCCATAAACTGACTTATTGAATAAAATTGAAGGACAGCCGACATTCCCATAGATATTTGTATATCTATATAACATATATAGCGAAATAGACATCGGGTAGCAATGGCAGTGGCAATCATTCGCCCAAAAGCCCCGATAAGCGTCCGTGTAAGTGTCGGAACAGGGAATAGTTTTGTGTGATTTATGCTCCGCCGAGGCATGTGCACCGCTTCGCATTCCGGTGGGCGTTTGATTGCCCCTGAATGCCGCTCCCACTGTGGCAGGGAATGTGTGAATGTGCGTCACGCCCCCATAAAGATTATACGCTGATTAGGAGGGGAAGGCAGGCGGCATCGATGGTGTAATCCAAATACCTGACGAACTGCAGCGGGAAATTAATTAAAGCAAAGCTTCAGCTGAACAGAAATATTCCCGGAACAATCAATGTTCGGTTTGGTTCTATAAAAGATTCTAAGCTATTCTAAAAATAAGTTAATGATACATTAATAGGGATATTTCAATAATAAGTCTCTAGGGTTTCCATTTAAATTATCCAAGAGAGAGCTTTCAAAACCCCTGAAAATTCTATAAAATTAAAATATTACACATACGCCCGGTTGCACATTATGAAACATAATCATTGTTTCAATGTTTTCATCAAGAACTTGAATTTGTTAGCTAAGGATTCCTTATATTCTAGAATAGGAGCTTCAAATATTACCACAACGCATACGCCAGGTTGTGCACTGCAAATATTTACCAATCATTTTAGCTATAAATTCCAAGTTAATTAGTAAATAAATAGATAAATATTCCATAATTGGGATATTTGCATTATAATTTTAATTAAATTAATAACACAGCTAAAAAGAAAGTCCACTCCAATTAAACTATTCCAAGATCCTTCTGAAGACGAAAATTACGTATACGCACTGTTGTTCGCCGAAGTAATACTTTTTAATTGTCTCACCAAAAACAAAACAAAAATATTTACATACATACAAAAATCTCCTCAACTATAACCCTTTTTTGTATATGCAAACAGAAAACAAAACGAAAGTTTATGGAAAAACCGAGATCTGCATAAGTAAATAGAAATGAGGAGAAAACCACAAAACATGACCGCAGAAAAAATATAAACATACACACAGACAAAAGTTGTTGCCACAACTATTTGATAAACTTTAAGATGTCAAAGTCGCCGGAAAAGCTGAGAGGCGGAAAAAGACGAAGTGAAGTCCTGATGGACTAAGTAAATGTCCGAAAATGAAATGAGTGAGCAGCGACAGAGAGTTGAAAAGCCACAAGAAGCTGGTGCAGGAGCAGGACTAGGACCAGGACATTTAAAAGAAGTCAACAATGGAGCGAAGCTCTGAGGGCTCTACCACTCGGCGGAGCACATAAAAAACGGAAGAACCCAGCCCAGACTGTGCAATATCAGCCTGCAGTCTGAGTGGAAGCAAAAAAAAAAACGCAAACCAAACAAATGTAAAGTTTATTAGATCGTAAGTGGAGGCCAGGAGCTTGGAGCGAAGCAGCGGAGCATCGAGGCGGGGCCAGAGCCAATAATGGCACCGACAACGTCACATTGGCATCTGCAGAATGCAATAAAAGCGTTTAACCCAAAAGCAAACGCTTGGCAAATATGTGGACCAGCTATGAGAAATGTTCCCTGCTCCCCAAAAGAGAAATGAAAATGAGGAAAAGCTGCAAGGGATGAACTTCAGCGGGGGAATGCTCTTGGAAAATAAATATAAACTCAATATATAGGGGAAAAAGAGCTAAGACAAATTGGAAGTTAATCAAAAAGACACAATGGCCATTGACTTAATATGCTAATTATAGCATAATTTTGAAATCAATAACTTATCATATTTAATTATTTTAAATTATGCTTGTGGAATTTTCTAGTACCTCTTCAATTTCAGTTTGAAATAAAGTTATCAAATCTATTGAAACTAAACTCGAAATAAAAGTAACTAAGCTTAACCCTTGAAAGAGTATTAAACCAGCAGAAACTCCCAAAGAAAGACCATAAATATGGTTAAGCTAACATGAAATACACCGCACCCAAGGTGGAAACGCAGGCAAAACGTTATGTGAAAATTGGAAAACTACAATGAAATTCTGTCAATAGAATTTGCTTTATTTTGACAGAGAATAGCGAACAAGAATCTAATTGAAAACTTCCATTCGGTATCATTCCTCTCCATTTGCTAATGTTCCGAAAATGGTTTGCATTTTTGGCCAATCAAATAAACAAAAGCATAGCTTCTAATTATGAAAATATATTTTTGAGACTTAAAGCCAGTAGTCATATGCCAATAATGACTCGATTCCGATGTGCGATCCCATCGACTGCGTCAGCGTTTGTTGTGCCCGCTTTTTGTTGTAGCTTGTTCCGATATGTCAGGGAGCTAGTTCCATGTTATGGCCATAAATCAAGCCCAAAATTCAAATGTTATCGTCGCGCCGGGATATTCCGCTGCAGTGTGGGAGACGTCGACTCCCCCTGACTCGCTCCCTCGCTCTCCCTCGGCTGGGCGAGTGGCGATAAGCAGGCTGCCACTGCTGCACAGTTTCCTATATATTTATATATATGATATATATAAATATATGGGCTGTATATATTCTCTGTATATAATGCCGCCTATGACGATGGCCACGGTGACGTTCAGCTTTATCCTTCTTACTCGGAAGCTAACATTGGGGGGTACATCAATAGGAATTGTAACATATTTATAACATATAAAATATTTAATTTTGTATGTAATAACGAAGTTTTTTGTAACTTTTTTCTAAGATTAAACTAACTCCTAAAAACTATAATAATTAACAGAGAAAAGAGGATACAGAAAAACTAACTTGATGAAAAACAAACAATACTCTCTGCAAGAATCTAAATATATAATACGTTAATGTATATTAAATAATAATTAAATTCCATTATCACTGCTATTTTTTTACCCTTGACTGTATTTACAAGCCCTGTGATAGTGGAGTAATTAGTTTGAGCGTTCCGCTGGCTTTTCCGCTCCCAATGACAATGGCCATTTACCTGACTGCCAACAGGTGGGCATATCTAACAATAGCATCGTCCGGCGATGGCGCTTAGCCAGTTACCAGTTACCAGTTACCAGATACCACTTCTGACTTCTGGGCCAGATTATAAATGGCCAAGCATCTGGCGGAAGGTGGCTCATTCGCAACAACGGCTGCAGCGACAGAAACGCGTCGCGATCGCTCTGAACGGTTGGGGTTTTTTGAGTTTTTGCCAAATTTGTTTCAGTGTCGCGTGCATGGCAATCCGTCTTTGGTCCCTAAAGGAATATGTCAATAAGGATCTGCAAAAGGGAAAACATTTACGTAGCAAAATAGGCTTTAAAAACGCAATCAGAAGGAACTAATTTAGGCTTGAATCCCTCTCACATCCGTCATGTGTTCCAAGGCTTTGGTGAGTACATCTGCATATATTTCCAGCAGTGAAGCAAAAAGAAAGGGCTGAACGGAAAAAGGATACAGGATACAAGAAATATTCCAGCAAAATCGGAAAATATTTTCATTTGGAGAGTTTAAACGTTTTGTTCCGGAATTTTGTGCAGATTTTGGTCTAATTTGAACCACAATTTAAGGTTCTGCTTGCTGAGAAATGCGCTTGCAGCTCATGTATCCTGCATCCTGTGCATCCTGTGCATCCTGCTCATCCTGTGCCCTGCTGCATCCGTTTAAACAGGAGCAAAAAGCGCCGGAATGATGAAACTTACATGAGCTCACGACTCCCTACTCCTATCTCTCTCTCTGGGATCCCTGGCAATATGCAAACAGTAATTGAATTAATGCCATGAGCCAAACGAAATGTTGACCGAAGACACAACACACACACAGCTGTGCACACACACACATACACACACCCCCTCTTCTGGCCACCAGAAATGGTTTGAAAATTGGAAATTAACAAAAAGCGAGCGCAAAAAGCGCCGGCACAAATTTAGCTGAAAATCCAACAAAAAACACACACACAGGATAAAGGATACAGGACAGGATGTCTGTGTGTGTGTGCACTTTGCATGTTCACTGACAGCCGTTGCTGTTGCTGTTGTTCCCGGGCAGCATGCGAATTAGTGTTGCCACTCGACACTTTGTCCTGGCCCCCGAAAAATCTGAGCCAAAAAAGGATGTGGGGCGTCGCCCCACTGACAGCTGGCCATCAGCGTCGAGAAAAGCGTCGGCGGCAACAAAAACCGGCTTGCACTTTTCTTTCGAGTGCAACACAGCGTCCCCTTGCTCAGCTTTTCCTACCCTATCTCTTTACCCTCGCTTTTCCCCCATCGCTTTCCCCCATCACTTTCCCCCATTTTTGAATGCTTAACGTGTCACTTGCCTGCCTCAGAGTGTCGGCATGCAACTCGGCCAGCTGCAAAAATATGCAAATTAGACATCAGAAATGCTTTAATGAAAATTCCGCCTGCGGCATAAGAGCATGCAAAAAAAATTAAATGGAACCAGTGAGATCCGAACATGGAGTACCGGGCTTTTAGTAGGTACAAAATATTTCATACTCTTTGAAAACTCTCTCAAAAAAAGAGAGGAACCCCCATTGTCTCTCTGTTCTTGTTATAACGGTTTTATACTTTTTTAAACCCCTTAAATACTTGTATAAACTATGAAATCCTTTCTACTACGAATACAACATACCCTTCTCTACCCACATAATATACCGTGTATTAAAACACGACCCACAAAAAGTGTGAGAACACTTTGCCATCCCCTCAACTAATGTACATTTCTTGCTTCGGCACTTTGAAGAACTTTATGCTAGCCATGGCAAAAATGATTTCGCATTTAATGGTGGTGGCCGGATGCTGATTAAACTGGGCCATAAATCGTACCCTCTATTGACAGCTTTCCATGACGTATGGCCGGCCTCGGGCAAAGTGCCAGGCTACTCGTAATTATCGCCACCAAAAAAACTGACAGTGATGTGGAACTATCATCAAGGGATTCCCGGTGATAACCGATACACAATGAAGTTTGTTTCAATTAACATTTTGCTAGTCCGCCAGTCGGGCTAACTGTTTGTGGCAATTGTTATTGCTCCGCTTGAGTAAATGGAATAAATTTTGCAATTAAAAGTTGCACTCCTTCGAAAACATTTGTCAGCGCAAATAAGCGTAAATTAAGTTTATTTTGCATCCACTTTTTTTCTCTCCAACTCTCGTTTCCACTCCCTCCCAGTTGTGTGTTTTGTTATTGTGGCTACGTTTCCTACTTCCCGATGGTTGGCATTGTTGTCCTTGTTTTGTCTATACCCTTGGAAGGGACATTATAAGTTTTACTACAAACTTTGAGAAACTATTAAAGAAAAAATTATAACAGGGGAAGGCACTTCTATTTTAAATGGGAAATAATGTTTTATATTTGACAGATTATTGATGGGTGAATTTATTTTATTAATATTTGAAGTTATCTGGAAAGTTTTTTGTACTAAAAATAGTAGTTTAAGTGATTTTGTTTACAGGAAACAGAATAAGATAAATAAATCGGAAATGGAGTCCCTTGAATTGATATTCCTAAATCACAATTTTTGTATCGAAAAATCAAATTTTAAAAAGTCAAAACTAAGCCAAAAACGCACTAAATTTAAATCGGAAAGCTTTTTTATTCTAGTTTTTATTAGGTTAATAAATCTGCTTACTTAATGAAAAACTTAAAAATATTAAATATTTTGCCAAATTTTTACAATTTTGACAATGTTACCCCCTTATAAAATTTTCAAAATTTGGAAAAAAAATTAATTTCGTTGAAATATAGCTAGACCGAATCAGTTTTTAATGCTGATCAATAATATATATGATTTATAGGGTCGGAAATGACTCCTTCACTGCGTTGTAAAGGATAGAAAAATAGTCAACGATTTAAAAGATATCTTGCATACAAGTCGTATACTTAACGTGAAAACCTAAAATTAAGTATACGCCGTGTGTGTCATAAAGAATAGTTTAACACAAGTAGTTTCAGTTAAAAGAAAAGTTAAGCAATTAAATTATTTTACCGAATCGGAGAAATCGATCATAATAAAGCTTCAAATATTCGATATAAATAAATATTTCCATATTAACATTTTTTGTCGAAAAATATAAGTTTAAAAACTTCATAACTCAGCCAAAAAGTCATTAATTTCAATTCGGAAAGCTGTCCCGTGTTAGTTTCAGTGAGTTTATCAATTCTGCATATTCAGTTTAAAATCTAAAAAAAATTGATTTTTTTATAAAAAAAAAAAAAATAAAAAATTTTCAAAATTAAAAAAAAATATTTTTGCCGGACATAGCTAGATCGAATCAGTTTTTAATGCTGATCAAGAATATATATGATTTATAGGGTCGGAAATGACTCCTTCACTGCGTTTTGGGCTTCTGACTAAATTTAAAGTACTCTGCAAGGCCTTACTATTGAATTGTTTTCATCCTTAATTCCCCTTATATTCCTTTAGGGTATTAATACATTCGCTACTGCCACCCTTTATTTTTCCCTCTGTTCCTATTTGCTAAACGGATAGCACCGCAATGCAAGGATGGCAAGTGCTGCTTCCTCTGGAGCTGGTTGTGAAACTAAATCAGAAGCGGAAAAGCCAACAGTGACTGTAACATAGCTGCAACTGAAACAGAAACTCAAACGGCAGCCGAAGCGGTGACTGCGACTCACAGTCGCATTTCATGTTGTTTTAATTACTTTCTGATTTATTTAACATGGCGATGGTAATAGGGAATGGGTAATGGGGAATGGGTATAGAGAGCCATAGGACCTCGCCGCATTGTTGACTGTAATTAGTTGCATTGTCACCTGAGTGCAGTCAGAGTGGCCCAAAAAAGGGCATAAACACAAACATGTCACAGAGCCCTGCGGGCAGTAGTACCGCATTTTGGCCTGGCCAAAAACATGAGCGTGCATAAAATGTGTTCAAACAGCCAAATTATATTTACATTATTTAAGTGCAGTGACAAGAGTTTCCACTAAAATTCGGGGCTCAAAACAACAATGAGATGGCTTTCACACGGAATTAAATAAGCCGGCTCTTTGGCTCATTTTGGCTGGCCGAAAAATGTTGTTTGTCGTTTCAGGTAATTTTAGAGCATTATGACCCGAAATTAGAGCAGCATTTTCATTGTTTATTATATCAGCCGTGCTTGCTGCCATAATAATTTGCAGTTGACCCCCGTGCCATATCCCCCCCTGGCTTTGGTCAAACGCCTCCTCCTCCTCGGAGCACGGGGATTAACTATTCGTACGTATTTGCCAGGACACACAACTGGCTCCACATCGGATATATGTATATATATATATATATAGCACAAATTGGCCGATTAGCATTCGCCGCATGTTTCCTCCTCCTCGTGCTGTACGAAACGAAAAAACATGTCAGTTAAATAAATAAGTTCGGGGAAAACTGCATCCATTCTCAGTGGTCTTGTTTTTGGCATTTGCAGTAGACTGCGGAGCAGATCCTGCCGTCCTGCCATTCAATAAGCCGTAAGCTCTGCAAAGTAGCCATCCTTAAAATGAATGTTCGTGTTTCGGCTTGTAATTTTCATGTTTTTCGGATTTAGGAAAAACATTTGCGGCCACATGGATTGGGAATCAAAAATGTATGTTTTACTAATTAAGAGTCCTAGCTTGCCTTGTCAGAGATGTTGTGAGTTTCTTGGGGAATTGTAGCTAATTGATTGTTCATTTGTTTGGCATTTTCCTTACTCAATTTTTATATTTGTTTTGTTCGATTACCATAATAAGTACTTGTTAGCTTTAAGGCAATTTGATATTGATCTTGTACGGTTTTCATTAGTTTTGTAACTAAACTTTAAATGCTTCCTAATTGATTTATAAACTCCATTATTTACCTTTGGTATTATAACACTACAATTTCCAAAGTTTTTTGATTAAATTTAAGTATAACGTTAGTTGATAGTTAATTTATAATTTCCTAAGTCGACAAGAGGATTTTTAAGCTCTTAAGTTAGTTGACATAATAAAACCTTTGAGAATGCAGTGTCATAGACCCCCATTTATTCAAAACCGACAATTTTGCCTAAATGGAAGAGGAAGCCTTAATAATTTATTGCCTGCTAGAAGCAGTTGTACATTTATAAGTACATTTAACCAATTATGCGTTCAACTTGGACTCTTCCTGGACAGGATACAAATCCCTTCCTTAATGCAATGGGAAAACATGTGGCCAGCAAATGAGTTGACCTGATGAAATGAACCACGCACAAACCCCAAATGGCAGCTTCGTAATTTGCCGGCACAATTAATAACAATTGCTGTGCATAAAACAATTAAAATTGTTTCAATTCCAAAGGATATTCGTAGGTAATCAACTCATTCTACCTCTCTCTTGCATGGGTGCCCAGTTAATTTACACCGCAAATGGTTTTTACCGTTGCCATGACAATAATG